ATATTGCATATATATATATTAATATATATATAATATACTATATAGTGAGGGAGCGAGAGTGAGAGAAAGGAGAGACACAGACAGAGAGAAAGAGAGAGAGAGAAAGAGAGAGAGAGACGAGGGAGAGAAAGAGAGGAGAGAGGAGAGAAGAGAGAGAGATGTATGTGTTAATACACACGCGAGCGCGTTGTGATCAGAATTAGGAGTAGTGTGTGTTGTGTCGTGCTGTGCGTGCGTGCGCGTCGACTGCGTGCGCGCGCGCCGTGTGTGTGTGTGGTGTGTGTGTGTGTGTGTGTGTGTGGTGTGGTAGTGTCTGTGTGTGTCTGTGTTTCTAAGACACTATATTGAGTGTATCCCTTATCCTCCTCAGGTGTACCGTGTATCTCTATATTCGACAAAAAAGCTTCGCGCATGTAAACATTCAACAGACAAAAATTAAAAAAACGCGCGTATTAGTCGACAAAATGCCAGATGTGACGTAGTTTACATTTACATTCTACGTAATAGAGGCAAACGCGTTTACGTGACTACACTATTTAACATATATGTAGAGTTCAGATGTGACGTAGCTTACATTTACATTCTACGCAATAGAGGCAAACGCGTTTACGTGACTACACTATTTAAACATATATGTAGAGTTCGCGCCTGAAAAAAAAAATCGATTCAAAAACCATCGCGTTAAAAAACACGCCGAGCTCGCGCACGATTTATTCATAATACGCGAGTGTTCGCAAAATAATGGATGTAGACCCGTGTGTAACGTATTCTAACTTTATACCTGCAGTAGACCCGTAGTAGCTACTAGATGACATCATTCATCAATGTAAGTGATACCATCTATGAAAGCCTTCCACGGCGTGTACTCGGTCTCTTTGTGCATGTATGACGTCACACTGAGAGCGGTCATGTACGTAATCTTTCCCGCCCTACACGCAAATGCACGTACTATAATTATAGTATTTCATATCGTGACGCAATCTGACAATTATTGCCCCTCTACGCTGATTATCTCCTTTCTCCTACTATTATATTCTACATCGTGTAGCAACAGCTATGAAAAGGTTTGCCAACGTATCTTGCAGCCAAAATTTAATGTCGATCAATCGCATCACATATAATATCGTTGCACTAAGTCCTAGGCTATACATTATGCAATAATTTATTCCGATTGCTCTTTTAATAAGCGCTGACAATTAATGTTACCTGTAAAATCTTAAAAACTGATTTTTAATTAATATAACGATAAAAACGTTAAAAGCGAACGTCTAAATGAAAGCAATACCGTATGATCAGAGTTAAGCAGCTTGATGAGTTTATCCCAGTCGTCTGGTTCGTAGTTAACCCGGTAGTACCCGTTGTAACCAATATTGCCAAGTATCCAATCGTCTTCGCTCAGCTCAATAGCAGCTGTGGGAAAACAGATTCATTGAAATGAAAGTGATATCGTATTTGGCGGTTTACATGGACGCACACTATTCTCAGAAAATGTCTCCATGTCCAAAAAAAGTCTTGCGTCCTATAAGTTGTAGGCCGGCGTAGCTACAGTGCGATATACGATAAGCCTCAGCGGAATCAGCTACAATATATACTAACCAGCGCTGATGGCGAGGGCTTATGAAATAAAGGGAAATTGTATTTGAGGCGTAAAAGCTAACATCGGCGCCATACTTATGGTGATCTATATTCTTTCTATATATTTTTTCGTCTTATATATTTATTCCTTTCAGAGTGAAACCTTCTAAATTGGGATACGCCTAATGCATCAGAGCTTCTTGTAAGCCGCGTAATACGATTTATACAATAACATTTGTATAATGTTAACATGAAAACACTCGCAGTAGAGATTGTGTCAGCAACAATAGTCACGATGACAAACAAAACTAGTTACAATCTCATCTCAACTATGTAACGTCTAGAGTATTACGCAACGTCTGTAGACACTACCTCGAATTCTAGAAACGTTTTAAGGAATATCACGCGATTTGTTTCGCGTACGTGTTAGCTTAGTGGGCGTCCGCTCGTAATGGAACTCGCGTTAAGTGTTAATAGAATCAAAATATTGAACACGGATTGCTTGCATATTATGTCAGCGGCAGGTGGACGGTGGATGAGACATGACCCTTACCTGATGACATATTCATCCACACCGTTTGCGTCATACCATCCGGTCCCGTCGTGTATTCGAACGGAATGAACCAGGCATACTTACTAGAAAAACAAGAATTTGCGTCACGACGCAGTTTCGCTCTCGCACACATGCCGCGCTACATGCTCGAATTCAACAACGATAAACTACGACTGCGGAAACGGAGAGCGAGAAAAAAATCGCCAAGATAATAGATCGGTCGAGATTTGACGTCGAGGAAATTCGTTTAGCGCACGTGCGCGTGGTAACGAGTTGTGGCACAACAACAAGCAAGCGCGAGCGACGCATCACCCTAAAGCACTGTGTGGCTTCGCTTCTCCCTCGATGCCCTTCAGCAGAAAGTGCTCCTGC